CTAATAGTTATTGATGAAAGGGGTAATATTGTTGTCTGTTTTATTGTATGTATTTTTATTGTTCAATGACTGAAATAAATATGATGATGACTAATAGAAGTCAAACTGAATATTTATGGTTTGTTGTTTGCTAGTCAATGTATGAGTATTCTCATATTTTCATATTGGTCCTATTTATCACATGATTTGTTTTTTAGCTATAGATTTAGAATAGGGCAGTTTTTTAAAAGAAATCAAATATTTTCATGTACTTCTTAAATAAACTGACTTATTCATGTTCTTAACAGACATTTGTCTTAAACCATCTGGGATTTTTTCCCCCTACTGATATAGGAAAACTCTCAAAATAACTTTTAAGAAATATCAGTGGAGTTCTAGGCAACATTTTAGGCTTAATCAAATTAATGAATATATTTCTCTATCATTTTTCCTCCACTTATTTCTTGATGCAAGTGGATTTGTTCTGTTTTTCACTGCCTAGCTTTTATTATATAAATATATAATGTGTGTGTGTGTGTATGTGTGTGTGTATATATATATATATATGTATGTATATATACACACACACACACACACACACACGTACATTTCCCTTCATGCATGAGCACAAATCTTTCGTTCGCAAAATAGTATGGTTATTCTACATGAGATATTGATGTCTAATATTTTTTCTGCCTAGATGATGACTTGAACTTAGAAGATGCCTTATCAGGTAAGTATTAGAAGATGTTTCTACAAACATCACCCGTTGGAAGTTACCTTACCTTCTTAGGTACTAATTTTGTACAGTATAAATATAACTGAGAACAGCATAACTGGATTTAAGAACTGCCTGAGAATGGCCCTTGCCACCTTTTATAACTTTGAGGGAAAGGTCTTCCAAGGTAGCCCACCACTACTTCTTGCTTCTGCCATGTGCCTTGGAAGGCTTTCTCCTGCCATTCTGCCTGCCCCCGCCCCCACATCACCCCAACCAGGATAAGACAGAGTGATACATATGTACTTGTCTTCAACTGGTATTTGTGTTATAAGAGCATGGCCCCTTCCCCCTTTGGTTGTTTAAAAAACACCAGAACAACTTAAGATTCAGTATACTGATAATCAGTCAGAAAAGCCTTAGGTCTTTGGAGGCATGTTACCAGATTACATCCCACCAAGACACAAACTGGCATCAAAAATGTCTGTTTAAAATAGTATTCAGAATTCATTAGGAATACACAACATCAAATAAAACACAGATGAATATTAGACTTATAAAAAAAACAATTAGGATTTAAAGAAAAGGAGCAATAGATATAACCATCCAAAATGGAAAATAAGCCTCCAAGAAAAATTGCTTTGAAAGAAACGCACTCTTTGCCTTGAGCATTTGGAAAATAAAATCAGCCCCCCTAACCATACTTTGTCTAACTACTCTTTGAACATAGAACTTTGGTTTAGATTAAATTCCTTATGTCTATGAAGATTTCATCTCAGAAGATGCAGTGGGTTTAAATTCTTTCTTTTGCTTTCCCACAACCAGCTGATGCTTCTGGGAAAATTCAATCAACAAAAGCCTCCAGCAAACTAGTTTTTCCCACCTAAAGGTGGGGGTGGGGTGGGGGGAATTGTGTTTGCTCAGAAAATCTAGCCAAGTGGCCCTCTCACAGACTTTCAGAGACTTACATAGAAGGGATTTGTTTATAGGTTGATTGTGTACACATTCTAATCTCATGGTAGAACATCAATGACATGAACCTTCCTAAGCAAACCAATGGTAGTTTTTAATTTAATGTAAGTTTATATACATTCTATCTATAAAAAATATAAAGAGGTACTGGTCCATCAAAAAAACTGGTCTTAAACCATTTAGATTTTAAATGGCAGAACTTATGCTTTATATGCGACCTGCAAGTAGTATAAGCTTGATATAATATGTCTCCAATATGTAGACCTCTTAGCTTTTGTTGTTGTTGTTTTTGCATTTAGTATGAGTTAACAGTTTTGAGCCTTCTTTAAAGATTGTTTCACTTGTAATAGATTGCAGTAATCCAGCCTGATCTAATCAGAACATATGTCCCTGAGCCAAAAAGATAGGAAATATGTCCTCCAAGAAAAGGCACATACTTCTACTCAAATCAGCACCAGCTCAGAAGACTCCATTTTATCCGGAGTCTTTTTCAGACTATTTTACTTTATTCTTCCCATATGTGGCCTTACACATTTTACTGCCTCCTTCTGATTCAGTGATAAAATTGAGAAGTAGAACCGCATGTAATTTACACACTGATCACATCATAGCCAAGATATGTAGGGAGATCTTTATAGATGATAACCAGCATCCTGAATTTTAGTTTGGAAGCCCACTGAAAGCCGAACAGAGGTGTCACTTGAGGGAACCACCACACACCCATAGCAACCCATGTCTAAAAGTGTGTTAAATACAAGATAGTATGGAGCCCATGTCTAAAAGTGTGTTAAATACAAGATAGTATGGAG